ATTCCCTCTCGGGCCTCTTTGCTCATAGGGTATTGTTTAATTGAAACCGGAGTTGCAGATGGTTTTAGTGTAACCACTATTGGAGGCTGGTTGTATGCTAGTCCTGGGCCTCCTGTCTTGGCCCATGCCAAGGGGATTTTACTTAGCCAATCAGATATATCAGGAATTCTTGCTATCGGTCCCTCATATAACCAATGTTCATCTTCCAGCCGTAAGGTTAATACCTGTAGTGGAGCTCCATCTTTTCCTTTTACAGTAGCTCCCTTTGTAGTGAAATGGATATAGGCTCCCAACTTAGAGAGTAAATCTCTCCCAAGAAGAGGGTATGGACAGTCGGGGACCAATAAGAATGGGTGGGAGACACGTCCTGTACTAAGGTCCACTTTTCTTTCTGTGGTCCATCTGTATGTTTTTCCTCCGGTGGCCCCTTGGACCCAGGCTGTCTTGGAACTCATAGGTCACTCAGTTGTTGTTAGGACCGAGTGCTGAGCTCCTGTGTCTACCATGAAGGTAGTCAATTGCCCCCCTATCTTCAAGGTTACCCTGGGCTCAGGGGGTAGCTCCTGGCCCCGACCTCCCTAGTCCCCTAGAGTCAGGACTGGGGTTTTCTTTTGAAGTCTGTTCAGCTTCTTTGGACATTCTCGAGCCCAATGTCCTCTCTCCTTGCAATAGGCACACTGTTCTTTATCCACTCGGGGCCTTCTCTTGTCTCCCAGGTTCCTACCTGGTCCTGGTCCTGTTCCCTGAACTACTGTGGCCAAAATTCGACTTAATTCTTTATTTTTTTTTTTCTCTCTCTTATCTTCTCTAGCTTCCTGCTCTTTTCTGATTCTGTCCTCTCTTCTGAAGTTTCTCGCTTATTATAGATTCTTTCAGCTTCTCTTACTAAATCCTGTAAGGAGTACCCCCTGAAGGCCCTCCAGCCGTTGGAGCTTACCACGAATGTCAGAAGCTGATTATCCTATAAAGGCCATGATAAGATCTGCCTGACGCTCCTGGGCTGTGGGATCAAAAGGGGTGTACCTCCAGTATCCCTCTATCAAGCGTTTTAGAAACCCTGCGGGGGTTTCATTTTCTCCTTGGGTTACAGCACGTACCTTTGCCAAATTAGTTGGGCGCCTTCCGGCCCCTTTGAGACCCGCTAACAGAGTCGGGCGATAAAGACGGAGACGCTCCCTACTGGCCATGGTTTCAGGGTCCCAGTTGGGTCTAGTCAGAGGAAATCCTGCGTCTATTTCATTTGGGAGCAGAGTGGGTCTCCCATCCTGCCCAGGGACATTTTTCTGGGCTTTCAGGATGACTCACTGTCTTTCTTCTGTGGTTAGAAGGGCCTGGAGGAGTTGCTGACAATCCTCCCAGGTGAGTTGGTGGGTGAGGAGAATAGACTCTATTAAAGCAG